TCTCCATCAAATGTGGCATATACTAAGGAGATGCGCTGTCCCCACTGCTGTTTTTGCTGTTTTGCAGAGGACTCAGGAACGGGGCCACTATCGGTCACCTCCTCTACATGGAGGACCTCAATCTGTACACCAGGAATGAGCGAGACATTGACTCATTGATCCATACCACACAGATCTACAGCACAGACATCGTAATGTCACTCAGACTAGAGAAGTGTGGTCGGATTGTGACTAAGAGAGGGCAGGTAGAAGGTAGGATCTCACTGCCAGAAAGAACAACAGCAGACATTGCGGACATTTACAAGTACCTCGGAATCCCACAAGCAAATGGCAACCTTGAAGGGGTGACAAGGAAGGCGACTAGGGCCAATTACCTCCAACTAGTGAGGCAGGTCCTAAGAAGCCAGCTCAATGGCAAGAATAAGTTTCGGGCAATAAACAGCTACGCTCTACCAGTAATCAGATACCATGCAGGAATAATAAGTTGGCCAAAGGATAAGATACAGGCCACAGATGTTAAGACACTAACCATGCACATACCATAAACCCCTACACGGGATGTAACACCAAAACATAATCGAAGTGGCGGATATCAGGAAATCCTACTAATGGCTAGACAAAGGTGGTCTGAGGCCCACAGAGAGTGCAGAGGCCCTCATCATGGCTGCACAGGAGCAGGCCCTCAGCATCAGAGGAATAGAGGCCCAGATTTACCACACAAGACAAGACCCCAGTTGCAAAGAGGCTCCTGAGACAATTCAGCATGTAACTGTCGGGTGTATGATGCTTGCAGGGAAAGCTTACATGGAGCGCCACAACCAAGTGGCTGGAAAAGTTTACAGGAACATCTGTGCAGAGTATGGGCTGGAAACCATAAGGTCAAAGTGGGAAATACCCCCAAAGATGGTAGAGAATGACTGAGCCAAGATCCTGTGGGACTTCCAGATACAGACGGGCCCAATGGTAATGGCAAACCAACCGGACATTGTGGTGCTGGACAAAAAGTAGAGGAAAGCTGTTGTGGTTGACATAGCTATAGCAAGTGACTGTAACATCAGGAAAAAGGAATATGAGAAAATAGAGAAATACCAGGGGCTCAAAAAAGATGGAGAAAACCTGGAAGGTCAAGGCATCAGCGGTCATTGGGGCACTCGGGGCAGTGACCCCAAACTTGAGGAGTGGTTACAGCAGATCCCTTGAAATACATCAGACATATTGGACCAGAAAAGGGCAGTTCTAGGAACAGCAAAGATAGTGAGCCCTCAAGCTCCCAGGCCTCTGGTAGAGGACCTGAGCTTGGAGGGAAAAAGGGAGAAAGGTGAGGAAGAGTTTTTTCTTTTTTTTCTTTTTTTTCAGATAGATAGATAGATAGATAGATAGATAGATAGATAGATAG